GTTTTTATTTATTATTATTTTTACTTTCTCCCCCCCCCCCCCCCATGTTGTATGCTCTGGACAATTTTTGTTGTTGTTCCTGGTTTGTATTTTTCTTTTCTTGAAGTCGTTGATGCTGGAGTGGGTTGTTTAAAGATGGTTAACAGTTTTTTTACAGGTCATCTTTTTGGGCGTGGCCGTTACGCCTCTTAGGGTCATTGGTTCTGAAAAACCTGGCTACTCTTTCAGGTTGTTCAAAGGCTGGTTGGCAGTGTGTTCTTTCTATTTTAAGTTTGTTTTTCTTTTCACATTGAAAAATTTTAGTGTTGGTAACCCGGAAAATGTGTGTCTTTTTGTTTTGTTAATTTCTAAAGTGGTCAAATTATACTTTGCTTTCTCAGTGCCTAGCATGTCCGTCCTGAAACCAAATTTCAGGTGTCTCTCCGCGATCCATTCATATAATTTTGGGTATTTAGGTTATGAGTGATATTAAGATTGTTTCATTAAACCTTAAAGGGATCAACCGTGTAATTAAGAGACAAAAAATAATATCTTATCTTAAAAGGGAACAAGCTCAAATTGCTATATTACAGGAAACTCATCTGACTGAAACAGAACACCTGAAGCTCAGACGAGGATGGGTGGGTCAAGTTTTCAGTTCCTCCTTTAATTCTCACAGTAGGGGAGTAGCAATCTTAATTTATAAGAAGTTACATTTTAAGTTTTAGGATATGATAAAAGATACAGGAGGACATTACATTCTTATTGTTGGCCAGCTTTTTGGTGAAAGGGTCCTTATTGGAAGTGTGTATGCTCCAAATTCATTTGAACCTACTTTTTTTCTCTGAATTAACTGCTAATATTTCATCCTTTTCTGTTAATCACATTATCATTGGTGGAGACTTTGATTGTGCGCTTGATCCCAGTATAGACCTTAACCCACCTAAATATACTACAGCTTCAAGGCAGGCCGCTAAACTGATTAAGTTTTGTGACGATTTTGGCCTACTTGATGCATGGAGCATTATAAACCCTAAAGTCAGAGACTTTACATTTTATTCACACCCACATAGGATGTCCTCTAGAATAGATTTTGTGTTTTTGTCTAGACAGATTATGGACAGAACAAAAGAGTGTGCTATAGTCATATGTACTTTATCCGATCATAAATCTGTTTATGCAGTCATCTCTCCACCTTATATCAACCCGGCATCTCGCTATTGGCGATTACAATCTTCACTGCTCAGTAACCCTAAATTCTTGGCGTTTCTTGAAAAAGAATGGATGATTTTTATGGAAAACAACAAGCAGCCTGATACAGATCCATCTCTTCTTTGGAAAACAGCAAAGGCTTATATTAGGGGGTCAATAATATCTTATTCGGCAGCTTGTGAAAAAAGTCTTATGGAAAAACAACTGGAGTTAGAATGCCTTGTTAAGGATTTAGAGAATAAATTTATTAACACCCCTTCACGTGTTTTGCAGAAAAATCTAGATGCAGCTCGCTCAGCCTTAAATCAAATCTTAACTAGAAAGGCGGAGACCTCAATGCTGTTTGCTAGGCAGAGACTATACGAATAAGCCAGGCCGTTTGCTGGCACGACTGGCAAGGGGCAGGAACGAGGCAAGCATGATTTCATCCCTTAAGGATGGCAAGGGCAGTTTAACTCATGAGTCTAAACAAATTAACACAATTATGAGAGAGTTTTATCAGAAGTTATACTCATCAGAGACTAGTGTCTTAGCTGACTCGTATTCTTTTCTGAACCAAATTAAACTTGCTAGTTTATCCGATGAGCAGCGGGCAGACCTGAATAAGCCCATCACAAAGGAAGAAGTGTTAGAGGCAATTAAGTCTCTGAAAGGTGGCAAAGCTCTGGGCCCTGATGGTTTTGTGCCGAAGTTTTACAAAAAAATTAGCAAATTCATATTAGAATCTCTAACAGATACATACATTGTTTCATTTAAAAAGGGGTGTTTACCGGCTACCTTAAACATGGCATATATTTCATTGATCCAGAAAGAAAAAAAACATCAGATGAATGCAGTTCTTACAGGCCTATAAGCTTGTTAAATGTGGATTGTAAGCTGTTATCCAAGCTGTTAGCAAGAAGACTTGAATCACTCCTCCCTCAACTAATAAACCCGGACCAGACAGGTTTTATTCAACAAAGGTTGTCATATTCTAATGTCAGGAGACTGATAAACAATACAGTATTCACAAATATCCAAAACTGAAGTGCTTGCCGTTTCCTTAGACGCAGAAAAGGCGTTTGACCGTGTGGAATGGGCGTATATGTTTGAAGTGCTGGGCAAGTTTAATTTAGGTACAGACTTTATTAACTGGATTCGGACTCTATACTGTGCACCAACTGCATGTGTTATTACCAACGGCCTTCGCTCTCTTCCTTTTCCGTTGGGGCGAGATACAAGGCAAGGTTGCCCTCTGTCCCCTCTCCTTTTTGCCTTAATTCTGGAACCCCTTGCAGAGACTATCAGAACTCACACTGATATCCAGGGGGTTGAGATTGGTCAGTCAGTTCATAAAATTGCATTATATGCCGATGATATACTTCTATTTCTTACAAATGCGGAAACTTCTATTCCCACAGTTCTCAAGACTATTGATTCTTTTAGTTTGATATTGGGTTATAAGATAAATTGTGATAAATCTGAAGTTATGCCCCTAGGGGGAGATATCTCTACTAGCGCCTTGTTAAGTTGTCCTTTTAAGTGGTCTAGAACAGGTCTCACTTATCTTGGAATTCGACTTTCACCTGATTTATCAGAACTTTGGAAACTTAACTTAGCCCCACTTATTAAAAGTATAAAAGATGATTTAGAGTGCTGGTTTAACCTCCCCATATCTTGGATGGAGAGAATTGATCTCATTAAAATGAACATCCTTCCTCGAATATTATATCCCATGCAAATGTTACCACTCTGGTTTCCTAAAAAAAATATCTCAGATTTGGAAAGAAGTTTTTCAAAATTCATCTGGCAAGGGAAAAAGCCAAGGGTTAAGATGAAGATCTTACAACTGCCAGTAGATAGTGGTGGACAGGCATTACCTAATTTGAAGTTTTACAATTGGGCTTGCCATACTCGTACAATTCTGAATTGGCTGCATTCTTATTTGAAATCCCAGCCCTGCGTTGATGAGTGGGCAGTGATGCCATACTCGTTGTTAAGTCTGCTTACGAGTAGTAAGGGCCTTAAGTTATGGCCTGAAATTAAAAACAACCCTATCATATTCAACACAATTAAAGTATGGCAGGACATTATGAAATGCGCAGGGAGAAGGGGCTTTTTGTCAGGTCTGACACCTTTGACTGGCAATAGAGATTTTCTCCCTGGTGTTCAAAAATCCTTATTCCATAGATGGCATGGAAAGGGTAATTACCAGCCATTACCAGAGTGGCTGGTAATTTATTTTTAGATAACACTTTAATGTCTTTTAACCAACTAAAGGACTAATTTGAGCTTGAAAGTGGTAGTTTTTGGGGATAACTTCAGATTCGCCATTGTATTAACTCTGGTAACCTCAAGCCTACTGGGGAAATGACTGTATACTGCGATATAGATGGTTTTTGGTTGAAAATTACCAACACACGACACCTTATTTCAAAAGCTTATCTTTTTTTTTTTTATTCAGTTGATCACAGTGGTATTGATCATATTTGGCGTACGTGGGAGAAAGATCTCAGTACTGAGTATATCGATGATGACTGGGTAGATACCGTTAAATCTATTAGAAGTATATTTACGTGCAATAGGCTGGTCGAAATGCAATACAAATTATTGCTAAGACTCTACATTACCCCACAAATTCTGAATAAGATTAATAGTAATCACTCTCCATTATGCAATAAATGCCAGAGTGAAATTGGTACTTTCATGCATTGTTTTTGGCATTGTCCAGTCATCACAAAGTTTTGGGAGGGGTTGGCACGGAAGATGGGGAATATTTTAAAAATAAACTTTACCAAGGACCCTGGGTTTTTTTTTACTTGGCTTGCCAGCAAAAGACATTGCTTTAAGCGCTAACCGGTTTGTACTCTGTGATAAGCTCCTGTTACTCGCTAGAAAATGCATCCTTATTGAGTGGATTCACTCTAGACCCCCATCACTTTCCCTTTGGTATAGAGAGATCTTCAGAATATTCCCTATGGAGAGACTAACTGCAGTGGTTAGAGGAGACAGTGCCAGGTTTGAAGAGATGTGGGGGCCTGTTATGGAACATCTTCCAACCAGGCTACAAGAGATTATATTTAAGGGAAGATTTGTATTTGAATAAGCATTCCTTTTTCCTGAATAACTGGTTTACTTATACTGTATGAGATCGAATGGGCTGAGGGGCAAATAGCTAGGTCAAGAGGTTCATGATAGGCTGAGAATTTTATATATTTTATTTTCTTTGTATTTTCTATTGTTTGTTTTTGGTTTTTTTATTTTTGCTTTTTATTTATTTTTAGAATTATTATTGTTTTGTTTCGATTATTGTACCGTAATATGGTTTAACCCCTTGTATTATTGTGTTTTTGTCTGTTAATAAAAAATAAAAAAATTAAAAAACACTGTACTAACAATCTATCTATCCTTAAATCCTTCTAATTTCAACAATGTACTTCAAGCTTAAATCCATTTAAATTTCAAAAACTTCAAACTTCTAGATTTTGGCCAGACTTTCTCGAGCCAATATCAAAGTTTATCTTAACACTTTTAAGTTAATTTTTGATGTGAAATGGCTGTAACCGTTTTAGTACGACAAAGGTTTATTCAAATCCACAAAAAGACTCCCATCTTTATCCTACAGCCTGTAAAATAAATCCTAAACTTTTCTGGTTAGTTGGAGATCTTTTAAGAGTTATTCATATTCTTTAATATTTATTATTTATTTATTATTTAAAGGTTTAATTCTAGATTTTTTTTCATTGGATTCACCACAATTATCTAAACCTTGTTAAAAAGTTAAAAAGAGTTAAAAAGAGTAAAAAGTTATTACATAACATATTACTAACCTGACAATCATGAACAATGGTGACGACCACAGTGGATTCACATACGGCTCCCATGCATGCCATCATAGCATATTCCATGTCTGCAAAGCCTTCACCTTTTCCAATTCTGTAGCCTATAGACATTAGATAGCATCATTGCATTATGAGAAGATACAATTCTCAAGTTGTAGAGTTAAGATGTAGAGTTACCTTTATCAGACACAGCCACTGATCCAACTACAACAAGATCCACCTGAACTTTGTCATCTAAACCGACCGGGACACTCAACTCTTTAAGACCCTTAAGCACAAAGAGTTTGTCAACTGAAGCAGATGTAGGAGACTGCAGACACACAACACATATCACATAACATCTGAATATACAGTACATGACTTCACCTGAGATGTAGAACAAACACGTAGTTCTTCTTTGGTTGCACCTTTTGGTGTAATGATCCTGTTAAATAATCCAGTTTTTAGCCGAGGTGTTGGAACAAGCAATGTTTTTCTTGCCTGTATTCAAACATAAAATGGGTTATGAATTATGTTATAGTACTAAATTAGTTTTGTTAGCAAGCAATCTGAACAATATACCTGCAGAGAAGCTAGTCTAACCCCCTCTAGTGGTTTATCAGGATCTACTTTGACCACAGCAGCTTTGTTGAAGATTTCTAGCAGTGGCACCTTTTCACATGCCTCCAGTGCACCCTGAAATTGGGGATAGCACTGGATAAGATATCACTTCAGTGGAACTTACTTCTAAAGTAATGAAGCGTGCCTGTTCCTGAGGTCTGTCCGGATTCACTTTAATCACTCTGCTGGATCTAAACGTGTGCAGATCTGGAAGCCTGTTACAGGCATAAGCTGCTTCCTAAACCAACAGTCCACATAATCGTTACATTACAGATTTGTGTTAAAATATTAAAGTTGCTTTATTATGTACATTACTGTTTATTGTTGGTCATTAATTATTTTGTTCCATAACATTCTTTTTTGTCTTTTTTTTTGCTGAAAAGCCATTAAATAGGCAACTCTATTTCAAACACAAATATAGTTTAGATGACTTTTTTAACTTTAGAAAACATTTTGCATTTCAAATAAAGGTACTCAAATCAATGTCAATAAACAGTACGTCCTCATTATGACAATGTAACCCATACTTTGTTTGCCTGACTGGAGTGAGATTTTAATGACATGGGTTGCATGCTTTGTCGCATCCAGTGTAGATCCAATGTGACAGCAAAAAATGGCGAGTGTGTAGAAAAGAAAAGTGGAGACGGAAAATAGATGATTCAAATGTGAATGGACTGAACAGTTTTGAGTGATTAAGTGACTGATATCTTTGTTATGAAATTCACGTGTTGGTTCGCAGTGAGTTCACAGTTTTAACGTACAAGTTTGCTTTAATTTATTTTCAAGATCTGAGGTAAAATATCTATTATTGCTTTCACTATGGCTATAAAGATAACGCAAAATAATATTCAAACTCACATTAGACACTTTTAACATTGAATAAAGCACATAATCATTTTAGATCAGGGATCCTCAAATCTGGCCCACAGGATCCACTTTCCTGCACAGTTTAGCTCTAACCCTAATCAAACACACCTGAGCATGCTAATCAATGTCTTCAAGATCATTATAAAATCACAGGTAGGTGAATTTGATCAGGATTAGAGCTAAACTCTGCAGCTCATTGGCCCTCCAGGGCATGACTTAGATGCTCAATATGACCAAAATCTTATATCACGGTTTAAGTCATTTAATATCACCCTACCTGTATGTATACTACGGAACCCCTAAAGGAACATTTTGGTGGGAAAAATATGGGGTGGGAAGAAAAAATATTTTTCAAATCTTTTGCATTCTGTTGCAAAACTTTTGCGTTCCTCCAAGAAACTCTGCGTTCGCTTGCAAAACTTTTTCAGTACACACCTTAAAGCATACTATTCACAGACAATCAGAATATGAGCCAGAGTATGAACATAACGTGCTAAATTACACGCTCCCCCATAGAAAGAAAACACTTTATTAATGGACTAAGACAGTGGTACAAAAAGGCCGAATTCGGTATAGTTTATTAATACAGGAAAGCAGATAAGCCCAGAATATGAACAGAAAGTGCTAAGTTGCCCGTTAACCCTCTGGTATTGTTCTTTTGGAAGTCACACTTTGTTTGCGTTGTTGTCAAAAGTGACCAGACACTTGAAATGTAAACATTTTTTATTTGTATTTTGAGAGAATTTCATGGTAATATTTAATATTTATGCAATAATTATGTTCACTTTCCCCATTGAAAATAATAAAAAAAAATCTAATATTTTTTCTATTACTTTTCAATTATGGCAATATATCATGTTAAAATAGAGACAATAGCCTTGTCCAAATACCCACACTTGCGGTCTTTGCACTTGACTACTTATATGACATATTTCCTGTATTTGGCCCAAGCGTTCAAGTGAGCATGAAGACCACAAGTGTGTGTCGTACTTTTCATTACCTGATGGGACACACTTGTAGTGTTGTAGAAATGCAAGTGTTTACATAGCTTTATTTTAATTTTAATTTTAAATACTTTGCATTTTAAAATCAACTTCTAAATGTCTGTTCAGTAGTCCCTATAACATGACAATTTTAATTTGTGGTGCTTCTAATTAAGTGATAAAAAGCAGTTGCAAATGTTGTACAAAATATATATCACCACTACTCATCTTTTCACCAATAAAACGTAAAAACAGTGTTTTTCTACCAAATTATATGTAATATCTAATTATTATATTAATATTTAACTTGCTTTGGAAAGGTTGTGACAAAAAGTCACAATTTATTTCCAGAACATGATGCATGATGGGATACACTAAGCCTCGAATAGCGCTCCGGAGCGGTATTCGAGATAGTGTGGATTTAGTGTGCTTTAAGGGCACTGGGACAGTCTTGCGCACTTACTTCCTGTCAAGCACGCGCTCTCAAGTGGCCAAGACCGCAAGTGTGGGTATTTGGACAAGGGGATAGACTTTAAAAAACAATTTATGAAGACAGATTAGTGCCATCTGGTGGGAGTAAAAAAAACTTCTGCAATTCCATGGTTTAGCCACTAAACGGATTCCTATACAGCTCTATATAAAATACTTTAATTCTCTGGTTGTTTTTAGACAAATACTTTTAAGTTGTGGATGTGGATTTATATTTAGACATTCTCAAAGACTACTTTTTGTAAAGGTTTAGTTTTTTTTTTTTTTAAATGTAGGTTTGAAATGTCAGCTTTTACATAAATTTTACTACAGTCAAACCTGAACACAAAGGAAGACATTTTATTACATATAACATCAAAGTTCAACAAAAATGTAACAAAAAATTAACAGGAATGCTTTATCAGAGGTTAATCAATCTGATTTCATCCTCTTATTTGAGACTTCTGGCTAAATTTTGCAATATTGTTACAGCCACACCAGTTCATTTGTGCGTGTATGATAGTGTGTTGTGTGTGTGTGTCTGTTTTGTACTCTTGAAGTGTCACCCCTTCCTTAGTTTCTGTGTTTTTGTGGCAGTGTGTCTAAATTATTGATTATATTTTACGTATTTGTAAAAACATGCTTTGTGTTACAGTCACACTAGTTCATATATGTCTGTGGGGTGTGGGTGGAGTCACACCCCACGTTGCTCTGTACTTCTTTCTGCATCGTGAATGATTTGTAGATTGTACACACAAAAATGTTTAGCATATTTCCCATTCATTTCCAAAGGCGGTCATTTTTGACCATGGACAACAAGTGTTATGACCATTTAGCATTTTCGAATCAAGATATTGTCATTGATAGGCGACAATGAACAGGGCGAGCCATTAGGCTAATTCGAGATGCATCAGTGCTGCACAGACCGATCAGCATTTGACACCAAAGTACCGCAAGAGCAATTCAAAAGCTTAGAGAGTCGTCTGCTCTCCAATCACTCTTGCATTACTTTGACGCCATATTGGTCTGCGCAGTGCCGATGCATCTTGAACAAGCCTATTATTTAAAATTGGAATTTCTCTGGATTCATAAAATCCTTGGGAACTTTTGGGATAACGCAAGTACACAACTGCATGAAATATATAACACTGTGCAAGTGGTTTTTGGATATTTTATTATGAAAATCTTACATATTGTGCCTTTAAGCGAAGATCTCCAGTCGCATTCATGCATTTATACTAGTGTGTGGCAGTTTGCGCCGGTGCGCATAGGCAGAGCACACAAGCGAGTCATTTTAAAACATCAAGACAAATAAAATTACGACTTGACAATACTTTCCTTACTGAGGTGAAAATCTCTGTTCTGAGACAGTCAGCCTAGAATGCGCACAACGAGCCTCCCTCTATAATCACTAAAACCTGTCACTCACTTCAGTTCATCACGATCGTGAACTGAAGCTCTCTATAATGCACAATGAATCTATTATTTACATCATATCTACACTTTTATAAGGAGAGGATTCGGGAGCATGCAGAACTCAGCACTTGACAAAAACTTTGTGTTTTGAGCGGTGAGTGGATTCTAACTTAAACACTTCTGGTCATTATGTTCAAGAAATTAACAGATATGTCTGTGATCGGCTACATTGCTCAACGCTGCAAATATGTTTTGCCAATATCAGATAAGGCCCCCTGATTCACTGGGCATACCTTGCTCATATGTTAAAGGGATAGTTCACCCAAAAATGAAAATTAGTCCATGATTTACTCACCCTCAATGCATCATAGGTGTATATGACTTTCTTCTTTCAGACGAATCAAATCGGAGTTATATTAAAAATTGTCCTGGCTCTTCCAAGCTTTATAATGGCAGTGGGTGGGTGTTTCTGTTCAACAGTCCAAAAGTCATCCAATAAAATGCATCCATCCATAATAAAAAGTGCCTCACAAGGCACAAGATGAATAAAGGCCTCCTGTAGTAAATCGATGCATTCTTGTAAGAAACATATCCATATTTAAAATGTTATAACCACTTTTCTGTAACTTACGCTAACTGTCATACGCAGAAGCTATTTCTGTCAAAATTGTCTCCTGGTGGAAAACGTCACCGGTTACTCTCGTAACCTTGGTTCCCTGAGAGCGGGAAAAAGACATTGCGGAGTATCCGCTTTGTGAACTCCTATCCTTCCACATTTCCTGAAGTCCTATTGGCTCACGCCAGTCCAATTGATTAGCCAACTGTCCCGAAATAAGCAAATATAAAATGCGGTGCACGCGACAATTACGTCAGAATCTGATCCTAAACGCTGCCCTGCTAATCGAGCTGCGATCACAGCGAACTCCGCAATGTCTTGTTCCTGCTCTCAGGGAACCAAGGTTACGATAGTAACCGGAGACGTTCCCTTTCGAGCTTTCTCTCTCAGCCCACACAAAGGTTATACACCAAGCAGGGATAGAACACACCCACAACTCCCAACCAATATTGACATTTGCCACACAAGCTCTCAGCTGATAGGCGAAGATAAGCCAATGAACGTCTAAAACCCAGGTATACTAAATTTGCATATCTGACATGAAATAATAAGATCCTGGAATGAATACAGGGCAGATACAGCAACAACAAGCATTGGGGGGCTGCACAAAGTATAACCGTGTTAAGCAGCCTATTCGCTAGCATAAGGGATAGCAGCATAAAGGGAATTAGTCACTCACTGATAGCACTTGGGATGCAAAGGACAGAACATCCAGCTTGTAAAACCTAGCGAAGGTGTTCTGAGAAGACCAGCCAGCTGCAAAGCATATATCCCGAAGAGACATACCTCTCGACCATACCCAGGACAAGGCGATAGCCCTAATTGAGTGGACCCTAATGTGGAAGGGGCATTCCAAACTTTGGCTCATATAAGCAGCCATGATAGCGTTCACAATCCAGTGGGAAAGCCTCTGTTTTGACACAGCCCGGCCCTTCACACAACCACCATAGCACACAAAAAGCTGGTTGAGGGCGAGAAGAAGTGCAGTTTTGAGAGATGGTTCCTTCATAGCAATGGATGCCAAAGGCTCAAATGGTGGCTGCGAAAGAGCTCTTAACGCCACCTCTAGGTCCCAGGGTGGAACTGAAGGTGGATGCTGGGGGTGCAATCTTCTCGCCCCCTAAGAAATCTCACCACCAGCGCGTGCCTACCGATCGATTGCCCACCCAGCGGAGAATGAAACGAGGCAATAGCGGCTACATAGACTTTCAGTGTTGACGGTAGACATCCACTATCCAGCATATACTGTAGAAAACACAGAACATCCGACACGGAGCACGTCGCCGGGTCGATATGAACATCACAGCATAATTTCACAAACACTCTCCACTTCAGGGCATACAAACGTCTCGTAGAGGGCGCCTGCGAATGCAGGGCACTCAGCTTCTCTCTGCTATCCCCGAAGCAGCCACACGTGAAGGCTCCATAACTCTGGGTTGGGGTGCCATATTGTGCCGCTCGCCTGGGATAGTAGGTCCTTCCTGATGGGGATCGGCCATGGCAGAGCCACCAGCAGCTATTTCAGGTCCGGGAAACAAGGCTGGTTTGGCCAGTTCGGGGCGATGAGTATCACTGACACTCCCCTCCTCCCTGATTTTGCATAACACCAGAGGCAAGATCTCGACCGGAGGAAGCGCGTACAGGCCAGGGCAACATCAAAGCATCCCCCTCCAGCAGGGATTGTGACAGCGAGAAGAACCAGCGGGCAATGCGCATTCTCGCTCATCGCGATCAAATCGACCTCCACTCTCCCGTAGCGGTTCTAAATCATCCGAACCGATTCGGGATGTAGCCTCCACTCTCCCTGAGGAATCCCTTTCCTCGAAAGCATGTCCGCTCCGTGGTTCAAGTGACCGGGGATGTGCACTGCTCTGATGGAGAGAAAGTGACGATCTGCCCCTAACAGGAGGCTCGCCGCCTGCTTGTAAAGGGCTCTGGACCGCACGCCGCCTTGGTAATTTATGTATGAAACCAGACATATTGTCGGTGTGAATCAACAGATGTCACTGCTTCAGCTGTGGCAGAAATATTCCCAGAGCTAAGGACACTGCGTCCAGCTCCAGGCGGTTTATGTGCCACCGGCTTTGAGTCTCTGACCACAGACCCGAAGCCGGCATGTCCTTGCAGACTGCTCCCCATCCCCATGTCAATGCGTCTGTCGAAATCACAAAACGTCACGTCACCAAACCCAGAGGAACTCCCCGGCTGAACAAATCCGGGTTACGCCAGGGCTTCAGAGCTTTGATGCAGCCATGGGTGACCGCAATGCACAAGCGACCCGAGATCCACGCACTCCATGGGACCCGGGATTTCAGCCATAATTGCAGTGCGCGCATGTGTAGTAAATCCAGATGGCACACCACTGAGGCAGATGCCATGAGCCTCAGCAGCATCTGAAATTCTTTTAAGCGAACGGACCTGCCCAGTCTGAAATGGCGCAGAGTAGACAAAATGGCCGCCATGCACTCATGAGAGAGGCGGGCTCAACCCAGAGGAACTCCCCGGCTGAACAAATCCGGGTTACGCCAGGGCTTCAGAGCTTTGATGCAGCCATGGGTGACCGCAATGCACAAGCGACCCAAGATCCACGCACTCCATGGGACCCGGGATTTCAGCCATAATTGCAGTGCGCGCATGTGTAGTAAATCCAGATGGCACACCACTGAGGCAGACGCCATGAGCCTCAGCAGCATCTGAAATTCTTTTAAGCGAACGGACCTGCCCAGTCTGAAATGGCGCAGAGTAGACAAAATGGCCGCCATGCACTCATGAGAGAGGCGGGCTCGCATCTCCACTGAGTTGAAACACACTCCCAGATATGTTATAGACCGACTCAGGGCGAGAATGCTCTTTTGTATATTCACACATAGCCCTAGGGACTCCAAGTGGTGAAGCAGCATGTCTATATGGCTGACTAGCATGCCCTGGGAATGAGCTAAAATCAGCCAATCGTCGAGAATGTGCATGAGAATGCACATCCCACTTGCTCTAAGGGGGGAAAATGCTTTGAGAAAGTGCACAGGGTTAAAACTAGCCAGAATGGAAGAACAGAGTTGCTTTAGCTGCTTGGTTGCTGGCTATAATCGGTGTGGGCGGCAGCTCTGCACTGCTCTGAGGCAGGGCGAGCAGAACCGTATTGATCGAGTGAGGTGGAAAGAGCTCTTTCTGTGAGGACGTATGCATTTTTATTGACTCGTACACACAGAAAATAATATTTTGAACACTGCACACTTGAACTTGGGGTGGCATTCTGCGGTGCTTGGGAACCGGGCTGCCAGCACGCTCCTCCCCCCTCACGACACCCTCAGGAAGACAACTTGGAGACCGAGGGGGGCCCGGAGTCACGGCGAGGGCTCCTCCACTGCCTGCGGTGCCTCTTCCCGGGTCTCAGCCGCACTTTCCTCCTAACATCCACCTGCCGCCGAGGGTCTGCTCTGGCTGCGGCAAGCCTTTCCTCCCTCCTCTGAGCTGGGCGGGTCACCGAAGACGACCTAGATCTAGAAGGCGGCTGGAACGAGCGCCGAGGCATGACCTGACTCATAACTTTGGCGCGCTTTAGAGCCTCCGCAAATCTCTCAACGATGGACTCCACGGCCTCACCAAAGAGGCCGGAGGGTGTAATAGGTGCATTAAGGAGCACCTTCTGGTCTGCGTCTTTGAGCTCAGCTAGGTTCAACCATAGGTGCCTCTGAAGAACTACCTTAAAACCAATGGATCGGCCGATCGCCTGGGCAGTGCTCTTCATTGCCATCAATGTGAAGTCTGTTGCGGCACGCAGATCATTGATAGTGGACTGCAGGAGTTTTGGCCTGAAAAACCTGTAGCACCGCCATGCGCATGCGCAGGACGGACGCTCCTTCCCCAGCCGAGGAGTAGACTTTGCTGGCCAGATGGGCCATCATCCTACACGGCTTGGAGGGCTGGCTGATATCCGCACCAAGGGTCTTGGCTGAAGCAGGACAAAGGTATGCGGCGTATGGGTATGCGCACATACCCGTGGGCTTCCACCCCGTCCACATGGGAGAAGATGGCCTGCATGGCTGAGTGGACGTATGCCGATTGGAGCGCAGACCACGCCTTAACCAGCAGGTCGTGGATGTCCGGAAAGAAAGGGACCAACGTCCTCGAATCCGCATGATGGTGGCTGGATCTAAAAAACCAGGAGTCAAGCTTGCTCTTTGCGGGCTCTTCTGGAGGATTCCAGGAAGACTCAAGCTCCTGGACCGCCTTAGTCATGATCCTGACGAGCTCCCCTTGGAGGTCTGGGGGTCCCTCTCTGTCAGGTCGATCCCGTTCCGACTCCACCCAGTCCTTCTCCTCTGACACCGAGATGGACATTGAATACTCATCACCTTCCTGGCCGAAGGCAACGAAGTCCGCGACGGATGGAGGGGGGCGGAAACATCATCAGAGAAGGTGACTGGGAATCGAGGTGATCGCAGTGATCGCGGAGGGCAGCACCTTCGCGCCGAGTCATTGCTCTCACCTCTGGGTGGGGGAGGGGGGCCCACCAGCGGCTCGCTGGCAGCAATGGGCCTCACCCCGAAAAGGCCATGAGCCATATTCCGGCAAGTCTTGAGCGCACACGCACGCCGGCGGTTTCCAACAGTCAGACTCATCCAACGCCGCCTCAGCATGGGACAAGCCCAGGCAGGCGACGCATTGATCATGTTTGTCTGGTGGTTCAATTGGTTCCGCGCAGATACTGCAGTAGGATGTCATCTTCATTTTTGAAGCCAACGTGGAGAAGATTCTGACGTAATTGTCGCTTGCACTACATTTTATACTGCCGCTCGAGCTCGTCAGTATTTGCATGCGATTTGCATACTTCGCAACAATTGGCCAGTCAATTGGACTGGTGTGACCCAATAGGACTTCAGGAAATGTGGAAGGAGAGGAGTTCCCAAAGTGGATGCTCCGTAATGTCAAGAGAAAGCTCGAAAGGGGACAAAGACTTAACCCTTTAGACGCCAGGGATTTTTGGAAAAATGCTGGATTTTGACATCAAGATTTCAAAAGCTTGTGTCTTGAAAGGGCTTAAAGACAGAGATCTACTGTAAATTAGAAAAATGTTGGGCATGACCGAAAGTTTATGTGGGGTGTAAATATACTCCTCTAATTTGCATATTATGACGCCATCTTGAATTTCATAATATTCAGAAAATAGTAGATATTGAATTGATGTTTGAACTTATTTGCATGTCGATAGTAACCGGAGACGTTCCCTTTCGAGCTTTCTCTCTCAGCCCACACAAAGGTTATACACCAAGCAGGGATAGAACACACCCACAACTCCCAACCAATATTGACATTTGCCACACAAGCTCTCAGCTGATAGGCGAAGATAAGCCAATGAACGTCTAAAACCCAGGTATACTAAATTTGCATATCTGACATGAAATAATAAGATCCTGGAATGAATACAGGGCAGATACAGCAACAACAAGCATTGGGGGGCTGCACAAAGTATAACCGTGTTAAGCAGCCTATTCGCTAGCATAAGGGATAGCAGCATAAAGTGAATTAGTCACTCACTGATAGCACTTGGGATGCAAAGGACAGAACATCCAGCTTGTAAAACCTAGCGAAGGTGTTCTGAGAAGACCAGCCAGCTGCAAAGCATATATCCCGAAGAGACATACCTCTCGACCATACCCAGGACAAGGCGATAGCCCTAATTGAGTGGACCCTAATGTGGAAGGGGCATTCCAAACTTTGGCTCATATAAGCAGCCATGATAGCGTTCACAATCCAGTGGGAAAGCCTCTGTTTTGACACAGCCCGGCCCTTCACACAACCACCATAGCACACAAAAAGCTGGTTGAGGGCGAGAAGAAGTGCAGTTTTGAGAGATGGTTCCTTCATAGCAATGGATGCCAAAGGCTCAAATGGTGGCTGCGAAAGAGCTCTTAACGCCACCTCTAGGTCCCAGGGTGGAACTGAAGGTGGATGCTGGGGGTGCAATCTTCTCGCCCCCTAAGAAATCTCACCACCAGCGCGTGCCTACCGATCGATTGCCCACCCAGCGGAGAATGAAACGAGGCAATAGCGGCTACATAGACTTTCAGTGTTGACGGTAGACATCCACTATCCAGCATATACTGTAGAAAACACAGAACATCCGACACGGAGCACGTCGCCGGGTCGATATGAACATCACAGCATAATTTCACAAACACTCTCCACTTCAGGGCATACAAACGTCTCGTAGAGGGCGCCTGCGAATGCAGGGCACTCAGCTTCTCTCTGCTATCCCCGAAGCAGCCACACGTGAAGGCTCCATAACTCTGGGTTGGGGTGCCATATTGTGCCGCTCGCCTGGGATAGTAGGTCCTTCCTGATGGGGATCGGCCATGGCAGAGCCACCAGCAGCTATTTCAGGTCCGGGAAACAAGGCTGGTTTGGCCAGTTCGGGGCGATGAGTATCACTGACACTCCCCTCCTCCCTGATTTTGCATAACACCAGAGGCAAGATCTCGACCGGAGGAAGCGCGTACAGGCCAGGGCAACATCAAAGCATCCCCCTCCAGCAGGGATTGTGACAGCGAGAAGAACCAGCGGGCAATGCGCATTCTCGCTCATCGCGATCAAATCGACCTCCACTCTCCCGTAGCGGTTCTAAATCATCCGAACCGATTCGGGATGTAGCCTCCACTCTCCCTGAGGAATCCCTTTCCTCGAAAGCATGTCCGCTCCGTGGTTCAAGTGACCGGGGATGTGCACTGC